AGCACAGCAATGAGAAAATAGGGGAAACCAGAGCAGAGGGTGGAGTATTTTACGATATGTAAGAGTGTTTCTGATAGCAGTATAGTGTGCAGGTGCCAGCCTGTGACAGCCCCGTATCCCAAAACTATGGCTTACATTTAATATGAAAGGATCCAGCCCTGGTCCACATCCTCCTCTCCTCTTTGCAGAGAGTGAACATTGGGCAAGGATTATGACAGGTTCCCAACGATATACAAAGGGGTATTGTGTGAGGTTTGGCAGATACTGTATCTCTCTAATTGCTATCTCTGACTGTTTACTATATTTAAGGTTTTAGCAACAAAAATGCTATATAAAAGTACAAACACAGGGGAGCAGTGCTAAATGAATATATACTGATCCTGATAAGTCATAAACACATGATTTAAAACTCAATACAGTGCCCACGTAAGGTGACAAAGTGCAGTTCACATATATGACAATCTATATTAAAGTGCTGTATGCGTAATAATAGTGAGTTTTCAGTATATCACAAAACCACACTAGTAGAGAACATAGAAAGTTCATAGATGATAGTATATATTCATTCAGAATAGTCTCTAAAAGGTGATCTGTGTGCTCCAAACTGATCATTCAGGTGATGTGCCAGAAGGAATGTTAAAATTGCACACTCACCAGATAGATAATCATAATACGCAATGTATATGATATATAGCCAAAGGTCCCTCTTAAGGTAATCAGCAGCCTGGTCACCTGAATGATCAGTTTGGAGCACACAGATCACCTTTTAGAGACTATTCTGAACGATTATACATTATTATCTATGAACTTTATATGTTCTCTACTAGTGGGGTTTTGTGATATACTGAAAACTCACTATTATTACGCATATGGCACTTTAATATAGATTGTCATATATGTGAACTGCACTTTGTCACCTTATATGGGCACTGTATTGAGTTTTAAATCATGTGTTTATGACTTATCAGGATCAGTATATATTCATTTAGCGCTGCACCCCTGTGTTTGATATTTATCTTGAGAGGTGTTTTATGGTTACTTTGGTGCAATAGCTGCTCATTGTTTTTGGCGCTCGCTTATTTTTTCTTTACTATAATAAAGTACAACTGGCTCCATGGCAGATTTTTTATTATTGACATATCAATATAATTAAAAGAGAATAAAATAAAAATACAGAAAATGCGCAGGAAAGAGCTTGCAAACTATGAAAGGAAAGTGGAGGCTGGAAGCAAAGATTACTTTGTGTTGGGTCTTGCTTTGTCATAATCCATCTGTGGAAAACTTTAATGCAGGCACAGTTTGTGTGGTCTAAACAGAGCAGCGTACCATGGAAGAGCAAAAATGTATCAGGAAAAAAAGTGCACATGGGTAAAAGACATCTATTAATAGGCTTTGAAAACATTTTTCTCTGTTAATCCATTCTCATTCCTGGCTCAACAAACTGTGGAAATATTTGTTCTTCCCTTAGCTGACGCAGCAAATCCCCATGCAGAAACAACTGTCTCTCACCCACAGGTTAGCACCACTACCTCCCTAGAAATGGAACTATACAAGCGCTGCACAAAATGTTGGTGCTATATAAATCCTGTATTATAATAATAATAATAATACTAATAATAATAATAGCCCTAGAAATAACACTGCCTCCCCTTATGAAAATATTACTTTCCTCACAACTACCTCTACAATCCTGCCCACCTATCTACAGTTCAGCAGCTGGGCTCATTGGCCCATTAAATAACATATGGATGGTACTACAGCAGGGGGTAGGCTGCAAGGCAGTATTAAATTCCAGAGGGGATGAGCACGTTATACACAAATAAAAAAGTAGAAAAATAGATCAAGATAATAATCAATCTAAAAATAATGGCACACAATCAGCTTATCTATTCTATTACAGACCTTCCAAAATGACTAGATCCTCTTTCAATGAATCATTGTAAAGGGTCTGTTAAACAGGCTATAGAATATACAATCTTCTTTCCTTTCACCATGAGTGGTAGGAAAGAAAAATGCTAGATTTCCCCATCAACAAGTCAGTGTTAATGGGGGAATCCCTTCCACAGCGCTATTGTGTTCTGCCGGCGAGGAGCCTTCCTTGTCGCCAGAACACATTGGTCAATGCCAGCTGCTATAGCCACCAGTAGGGATCACAGAAAATCCGACAGGTGGGTTGTACTGTTGCATCTGCAGTACAACCAGCCTGCCCATAGATGGATCGAATCTTGGCCAGTTCCTGCTGAACCAGCCAAGATTCAATCCATCTATGGCTGGCTTTAGTAATTTGATCTCCAATTAACTCTTGCAAAAGCACTATAAAAAAATGTAAGCTGATTTAAAAGATATAGAGGAACCCAGGAACAGTGTACTCTGTATTTCACAGAGTAAAATAGACTGATCACACAGTAAAGATGATCACTCATGTCACATGATCACGAGTTTGAATAGCAAAAAAAAGAAAATACCAAAGCTTTGGTAGATTGTAAAGCTGGAGAGTGCAAAATCAGGCTCATTTCTGCATAGAAACCAATCAGCTTCTAACCTCAGCTTGTTCAATTAAGCTTTGGCAATAAAACCTGGAAGCTGACTTGTTTCTATTCAGAAGTGAGCCTTTTTCACTCTCCAGCTTTAGAGCTTTAGTACATAACCCTCTTAGATTATGACATGTCATTCTCAAGGTTACAAAACTGGAGATTCCTGACTATATACTGTATTTTTATATATACTGTATATTATTATTATAGCCTTTAAACTGGCTTATTAAGCTAAAATAAAAATAACTCTGTACAACAGCCAATTAGAAATAACTTTCTACAGTAAGAAAAGGGGTTCTACAGTCCGTGTTGGATTTTAATAATTTTATGTAAAGAAAAATGTAAACACCCAAAGGTGACTAGGAGAATGATCTTTTTGCTTTTTCAAAGATAATGTTTCTTGCTTTTAAGCATTTAATACAGTACAATTGCAAAAAATCACTAAGACGAAATCTCTTAAATGAAATAAGGAATGCAGTCTTGTGTCCTTCTGTATACATCAGTGGAATATAACACAGTCATAGTGGTGATAGTACATTCAAGTAGATATATTTACATATAAGAAATGAATGAAGAAAATCCGGCTCGGCGTGCAGCGGGGGAAGGTGTGTGTCGGGCAAAAAACTGTGGTCTCCTGAGAACCATATTGGAGTTAGACTGTGAAAGAGGAATGGGACCCCAGATCCTGTCATAACTTGCTGGGGATCTTCTATTAGTGTAGACAAGTTGATATAGGGGGATAATAGCATACAATTTGAATTGAATTAGAGTTCTATCAGTGATCAGCTAAATATAGTACATAGAAATAATTCATTATTATCAGGTGATAATAAAGGTTTTTCGAAAGAGGTTTTTTAAGTAGAACATCAGGAATTTTTAATTGGCTATAGACCGCATGTCAAAGTTATAATAGAAAAAGACCTGGAGATATTATTGCTACAAACCTCCTAGAGATATTAAAAAATAACCAACTTAACCAGACCATACCTGTAACTGAAATAAAGAAAATGTGTATTTTGTGCATTGGTGCATTGCAGTGCCACAATTAGCACTCCAATGCACCTTGCCAATGGATGCACAATTTGGTTAGCTGTGATGCACTGTGTTACGAAACCAATCCATGCACATTTTTAGTATGTTAGGTCACCCATTCAAATGAATAGGCTGCCTTAACACAAAGTATGTTAACACATGGCCTAACATGTCAACTTGCATGTGTTAATGCACCACAACAATGTGAACCCAGCCTAAGGCTTACATTTGATAGACAGTAAAGGAAAAATAGACAAAGAATTAAAAAAATGACTTTTGGCTAGTTGAATGAATAATGTTTCTTTGTTAATTATTAGGGCTTACCACCATGTATTAGACGTACATCTGAACAGAGTAGGATACGCTTGTTGTTGTGGCTCATTGTAGCCACATCTGCAGCATATTTTTGCCCATAGACATACATTACAAAAAACCCTGTTTGTGCTGTATGTATTTCCCAAAACATGTTTCTCTTTTTTTATGCTGTTGTAATGAAATCTTAAAGGAAGCTCCTCTTTTGTCAAGTTTTGAGTTAAAGAATTGCATAAAACCCTCTTGGTATAGGCAATAAAAAGCTTATACACATCTTTATTGAATATATACAAGTTTCAGGCATGTGACAAAAGCAACATTGCTCGCTGTCATGTCCGTAGGGAATATTGCAGACTTGTGATTGGCTGATCAAAAATCCAGTGTTACATCAAAAGTATAATTATAAAAATTACTATAATTATAGCTTCAACTACAGTATAGGGCCGTTCCCTGGAAAATCCAATCAAATGAGTGGCATGTTTCTCATCAAAACAAGTTTTTTTTCCATTAATATGAATAATTCCAGAAAATATCTGTTTTTGATTTCCCAGGAAAACATATATCATTTTTAAGTGTCAGCTACAGTGTGTAGTACGTGCCTAAGCATCCTACCCCAAGACAAAATTACAAAGTAAGGTAGGGAAAAAATGGTACAAATTCAAGTGTCCATACCTAATTTAACCCATTCAGTATAAAGAATAGGCATGTATGCTACCACTAATGGTGGGGACTCTACATACTATATGGTTCCAATTTGATACATATGATAGAGGTATAGGGTTAAAAAAAAAGGGATACATGTTAGAGTTCATGATGTAAGGCTCCTTTCACATGGGGACTTCAGAAGTTTGTTTCTAAACCTGTGATTAACACGCATTAAAATGGACTGCAACGTATCCCTATAGGTGGCCTGGAAGAAAAGCCTGTATCCACCTACATCCAACCACCTATATGGATTGCACATCTCTTTTTCTTCCATCACAAGATGGCTGAAAAATTGTATGGACATAGATGTCACAGACACTATATTGCCAAAACTATTGGGACACCCCTCCAAATCATTGGATTCAGGTGTTCTAATCACCTCCATGGCCACATGTGTATAAAATCAAGCACCTAGGCATGCAGACTGCTTCTACAAACATTTGTGAAAGAAAGGGTCACTCTCAGGAGCTCAGTGAATTCAAGCGTGGTACCGTGATAGGTTGCCACCTGTGCAATAAGTCCATCCGTGAAATTTCCTTGCTACTAAATATTCCACGGTCAACTATTAGTGGTGTTATAACAAAGTGGAAGCAACTGGAAACAACAGAAACTTAGCCACGAAATGGTAGGCCACGTAAAATGACAGAGTGTGGTCAGCGCATGCTGAAGTGCACAGTGCACAGAAGTCGCCAACTGTCTGCAGAGTCAATAGCTAAAGACCTCCAAACTTTGTATGGCCTTCAGATTAGCACAACAACAGTGCGTAGAGAGCTTCATGGAATGGGTTTACATGGCTGAGCAGCTGCATCCAAGCCTTATATCACCGAGTGCAATGCAGAGCATTGGATGCAGTGGTGTAAAGCACACCACCACTGGACTCAAGAGCAGTGGAGTTATGTTCTCTGCCATGACGAATTATGCTTTTCTGTCTGGACGTGTCTGGGTTTGGCGGTTGCCAGGAGAACGGTACTTGCCTGACTGCATTGTGCCAAGTATAAAGTTTGGTGGAGGGGGGATTATAGTGTGGGGTTGTTTTTCAGGGGTTGTGCTTGGCCTCTTAGTTCCAGTGAAGGGAACTCTTAGTGCGTCAGCATACCAAGACATTTTGGACAATTTCATGCTCCCAACTCTGTGGGAAAAAATTGGAGATGGCCCCTCCTGTTCCAACATGACTGCGCATCAGTGCACAAAGTAAGGTCCATAAAGACATGGATGAGCGAGTTTGGGGTGGAGGAACTTGACTGGCCTGCAGAGTCCTGACCCCTTACCTGACAGAACACCTTTGGGATGAATTAGAGTGGAGACTGCAAGCCAGGCCTTCTCATCCAACATTAGTGCCTGACCTCACAAATGCACTTCTGGAAGAATGGTCAAACATTCCCATAGACACACTCCTAAACCTTGTGGACAGCCTTCCCAGAAGAGTTGAAGCTGTTATAGCCGTAAAGGGTGGGACAACTCAATATTGAACCATACAGACTAAGACTGGGATGCCATTAAAGTTCATGTGTGTCTAAAGGCAGGCGTCCCAATACTTTTGGCAATATAGTGTATGTGACAGTCAATAGATTTCCATTCTGAACTGACACAACTGGGGATCAGTACAAGATCCCCCGCTGAGACAGAACAGAGGGAAAAGGGAAAGGGGCCCAATCCTTTTTCTCATACGAAGCTCCAAATTTAACCAGGTCTGTTTTAATATAGAAAAATGTGTGTATGCTGGGGCATTGATCGCACCAACAAGTAAATTGTAAATTTACTATATTTGCCAACTAGAAAAAATTTACTTATTTGTTAAGAACAGGCTGAATGCAGTGGCAATGAGCACAGAAATGGCGGTAAACGATGACGCAATGTGTTGGTGCAGTGATCGCAGAAACTAGTGTTGGTGCAGTGGTCAGTGAAGTAGGGGCATGAAGGATAAATGGTGAGAGCTGGGTATTACAACATTGCTTTCCATTTGGCCTCTCCCCTTGACTTGCCCCTCAGCTCACCCCAATCTTAAATAACTTTTGAAAGTTCCCATCTATTAATCTTTATATATACAAAAAAACCTTTTTGGTGATGCAATAAATCCCACATTGAATTCAAAATCCTACATATACCAAATGATCTAATATAAATACACCAACTCAAAATAGTCCAATGTGAACTCCAAAATTATGCCCAAAAATTGTCCAAAAATTGTCCAAAATAAATCCAATATCGTGTCCTAATTCCAATCTTTTCCTTCCAATCTGTGAAAATTATTCCTCCAAACACGTACCTCGAGAAATAAAAATAAACAATCTAGTGCAATACAATTAATTAGAAAAAATCACCCCGTGAAACTCCACACTTCACTGCAAAAGTATATCTATTTGTGAAAAAAAAAAAAAAAAAAAAAAAAAAAAATTCAAATATACCAATCTTATTTTATAATAGTGCAAAAACCACATCAATCAAAAGTGTGCGCACTCTGTGATCACTGCTGCACAGTGAATTCCTTCAACCACCACACAATAGTATAAAATACTATTACCCTCTATGTGTGTAATTAAGGCTCTACCAACATTATGGATCAGTAATCTTCCAAAAATCTTCTTTTGGGATATTTCCAGGTCCTCAGAGAAATAAATGGTCTTAGGAGCAATATTCAAAACATAGGGATAACATTTATTAGTAACTCACACTTAAGAATTGGATTATCAGCTCCAGCTATGGTTTCTGTCCGCTTAAACAAACATTTCCTCCACCATGTGTATTGACAACCTAAAAAATGGCCACGGCGACACTTCCGGTCTGCATACGTGCGTCCTGACGTCACTCCTTTAACGCGTTTCGTCACTTCCGGACTTCATCTGAAAGGATCCAGATGAAGTCCGGAAGTGACGAAACGCGTTAAAGGAGTGACGTCAGGACGCACGTATGCAGACCGGAAGTGTCGCCGTGGCCATTTTTTAGGTTGTCAATACACATGGTGGAGAAATGTTTGTTTAAGCGGACAGAAACCATAGCTGGAGCTGATAATCCAATTCTTAAGTGTGAGTTACTAATAAATGTTATCCCTATGTTTTGAATATTGCTCCTAAGACCATTTATTTCTCTGAGGACCTGGAAATATCCCAAAAGAAGATTTTTGGAAGATTACTGATCCATAATGTTGGTAGAGCCTTAATTACACACATAGAGGGTAATAGTATTTTATACTATTGTGTGGTGGTTGAAGGAATTCACTGTGCAGCAGTGATCACAGAGTGCGCACACTTTTGATTGATGTGGTTTTTGCACTATTATAAAATAAGATTGGTATATTTGAATTTTTTTTTTTTTTTTTTTTTCACAAATAGATATACTTTTGCAGTGAAGTGTGGAGTTTCACGGGGTGATTTTTTCTAATTAATTGTATTGCACTAGATTGTTTATTTTTATTTCTCGAGGTACGTGTTTGGAGGAATAATTTTCACAGATTGGAAGGAAAAGATTGGAATTAGGACACGATATTGGATTTATTTTGGACAATTTTTGGACAATTTTTGGGCATAATTTTGGAGTTCACATTGGACTATTTTGAGTTGGTGTATTTATATTAGATCATTTGGTATATGTAGGATTTTGAATTCAATGTGGGATTTATTGCATCACCAAAAAGGTTTTTTTGTATATATTTAACACTTTCTAGGGTGGAAAGTATTGACTTTTTGAGGGTATAAGGAGGTCATATATTTAATTAATTATTAATCTTTATATCAGGCTGAAACTAAGGGTTGTTTACACCTGCATTGGTCTGTAAAGTGTGATCTGCGGTGGGTTGCTTTTCAGAGACCTGAGAGGCATTCAGGAGACGATACTACCACCTCTCAAATGTCTATTTTTATGACAGCTAAATGGAGTTTTTGAATGGAAACACAGCGCCGCAAACGTAAGCCTAGCATATGGCTTGAGGATGCAGCAAGACCCCATTCACTTAGAGGGGTTGTGTGCAGCAGCAATACTGCCTGCCAAATGTGAAAAGGGGAATGATTTTTGCTGCCGTGTGATGCTGCATGTGTGCAACCCTGTCTGGCTGCCGTTGCAGCTTAAGGGGGGCAGTTTTGGGTGTAAAACACAGCTCAATCGCCTAGTTTTACTGTCTGCCACCGCCAATGTAAACTAAGCCTACGAGAACAACTAAAACTGCACTTTACTTTCAATGTTGGTCTTTTACAAAAAGTATGGTGCCTGCAATGCAAGCATATATGCAAAGGCTACAGCGTAAAAGGGTTGTGTTCTATGGACTGTAGGCTCCAGTATCCAAACCCATGCCTCCAAAGCTGTGGCATGTCTATTGGTTTTTTCTAATGTTTTTGTTCATGTGTATAACCACTTCTGACCTTTTTAAATGCACATACCATGTAGGCATAAAACTGCAAGTGTGTATATCCATTATCCAAGGAGGCTGTAAAACCCTAGGTTTTGAAAAGCTAGGTTTTTTGAATCACGCACAGAGGGGTGAATGCACATATCTTTGTGTTTTCATAAATATATATTTAATATTTTTTTTTATATATTAGATTATTATAATATTTAAGAAGCTGGTGGCATATGGTATGCTATATGCTTATGCTTGGACTTTTTTTTCTACAACAGTATGTTGTACAGAATTCTTGGCATGTTACTTAGCTTGGGGCATTTGTACATTAAGCTTTGGTGCACACTGATGCGGCTCATAATGCGATTTGACCATTCCAATTGCATGACATGATCGGCAATAAAAATGTTCAGAGATGCGCTGATATGAAAGTAGTTCCTGCCCTACTTTTGCTGATTTTGAGTGCATCTTGCATCAACATCTATGCTTGAAGTTGCATAGATGTCTGCAAGTCACACCCAAAGTCGCATTGACATGCGACTTTGAAATTGTGTGACTTCAAGTGAAGTTGGACAATTTCTAATTTGTATGCTAAGGACTAGTCTAAATACTTAGCTTGGTGCATGTGTACATAAAAGGAATAATCTAATTGCATTGTAACAATGATATTTTTACAATGTCTGCATTAGTGAAGCCTGCAAACAATATGTAAATGCAGTCTAAAATCAAATAGCAGAGCAGTGCCAAAGATATAGCAGGTGGTTTTGGTGAGGGAGGACCTGAATTTGTAAAGTATGCCCAAAGTTTAACAAAAAGGTAGCAGAAGCAAGCATGGGCCCCCTAGTAGCCTAGTTGGGCCCCAGATACTGACTCGATGGGAATCCATCACTTGTTGCATTACACAATTGCAATCTGCTGATCTGTTGAGAAATGTTGCTTTGAAATTTGCATAATCACTACCCTATCACAAAATGATGTATGGGGACTTTATTTTTACAACAAAATGCTATTGTAGTTCAGGACCTTCTAATCAGTTCATGTTCACAAGAACAAAGGAATAGATTATATGTACATGACACTGTATGATAAGACATGTATAAACTGTGAAACACTTTATTATTCTTGGTTGTGACAATGAAAAATTTATTACAGCGTGTTTCTTGGAAAAATTAGAGCAAGTGGTGCCAGGATGAACATTTCATGGAATACAAAAAACAATCAGATATCTTTCCATATCCCTCTAAACAAGGCTGAAGTTTAATCTACTTATATTTTGAATTTTGTCCTTTTTTGCTCCCCACATCATACTAATTATATATTGAACCCCTTCCTGCCCAGCACCAGCATCCCTTTAATAGGGTCTGTATGCTCTGGTAGGGGCAGGAAGGATAACATTTTTGTTTTTGGGTTTAGCTAACTGTATATATTACATTTTGCTGATCGCATGACACATATATGGATCATGAGG